GTCATGTTCTATTTTATATTTATTAGTAGATTTCAAATGGCATATATTATTGCTTAAAAATTTGCCCTTTACTGATTTTGTACATAAAATTCTATTTACATATTTTTATATAACTCCATGTAAAGAAAAATTATAAATACAACATTTAAATGGGTACAATAGGTAGCTGCTAAAAGCATATATGCAAAGCATATGTTAAAATATTTATATTATATATTGACTGTCAATTTTTTAACATGTATATGTAAAGCACATTTTAGAGGAACTATCTATACAACAATATTTTATACGAAATTGATCTTAAACAATCGATTGACAAGATTAAAACTTAGCGACAATCTTTTATTTTCATACCATCTATAATCATAATATAATTCTATAAATTGGTCAAAAATATTGAAGTGAAATAAAAATTAACAAGAGTGTGACATCCATTATATTTTTAATTAATAAAAAGGTCTGCCAAGATCTTAGAAATATATAAAAACTACTCTTCTTAAGAATTTCATTAATTTTCTCTCTAATTTTATACTGTGGAATGGAAGCTGACCTGTGTGCGGGTACCAATGAAATTGTTGGGCTACACAGAAACCACTTGTTTCCAGTATCCTTGGTTAAGCCTTCCACACGTTTTTTTAATTTTCAAAATTAAAGAAATTACATTATTAATTAGTATGTCACATTTGTTGGGATGAGAGCCACTGTTCAATTTATAATAACGAATAACGATTGTATATGACAAATTTTATACACTAGTTTTCACTTCCTTGTCACGATAACTTACCCTCTTTAATTTATTTAATGCAAACATTTTTTTCTTTTGTTGTTTAAATATAACTATCAAGTTTTAAAAGTCTATGACATGATAAATAATATTCCTCTAAATGTATGTGCCCATTAATTAATTTGCAATGAACATGTGATTTATATACAGTTTTTCTTAACTAATTCACCCTTTTCTTTGTTCAAATTTGTCTGCGTCTTATTTAATAAAAGAGAGAAGGGAAACGTTTGGATTTTTCTCTAAACAAACAAAATAATAATGTGGGGGGACAAATGCTATATAATTAAAAGTGAGAGTGCATTTTAGTAAATATGCAAAACACCTTTCAATGTTTACCCTAATAAAGTTTGAAATACGGTGGAAAAGAATTTAACATATACATATAAAACGACCATTAACGGTATTTTACTTTAGATTCTATTGATATTATAATTTTACAGTAAGATCTTAAAAAATATAAAAATAAAATAAGATTCTTGTAATATAATCAAAATAATAATAAGCTTTTCTTTTTCTCTTGTTGCCTTTACTTCCTTTTAATCTCTTTTGAGCACTGTAATCACTCTCCACCATCCACACCCTTCAGTCATCTTGTACTCTCTCTGTCTTTCTCTCTCTCTTTCTTTCTCTATAAAAACGATCCCATCAACCCAAACTGTTCTCCTCACACATCTCTTAACCATGGCTGACCCTTACTCTAATTTCTTCTCTGGTTTCATCAAGTTCAATAACCCACTTCATCATCATAACCAGCAGCCACCTCCACCACCGCCGTATACTCATACCTTCTACACTAACTTTAACCAAAACCATATTCCTTATTTTCAATACCAAACCCCACCTCCATCTCCTCCGCTCAGAGAAGCCCTACCTCTTTTAAGCTTGACCCCAACAAGGAACGAAAAAGAAGAAGAGGAGGAGGAGGAGGAAGAGGAAGATGATCTTCATCTTCATCATCGTCATGAACATTCTTGCACTGCCATGGATTTGGATAAAAACAAAGGGAAATTGGAGGAGAGCTTGTTTTTTAGTAGTTCTAGTACTAGTGGTGCTACTGCGCAAACTCTTGAAGATGAAACTGTGACTGTTGCACTACACATAGGTTTACCAAGCCCTAGCGCGGCCGAAATGGCGACTGTTTTATCTTCTTCCCCGGAGATCACCGATAAAGATGGAGATGGTGATGATTCTGGGTACCCAATCACCAGACTCAACAAGGGTCAGTATTGGATCCCTACTCCCTCTCAGATTCTGATTGGCCCTACTCAGTTTTCTTGCCCTGTTTGTTGCAAGACTTTCAACCGATATAATAACATGCAGGTAAGTTTCTTTCCTTGAATTTTGAACCCCCTCCTTCATTTCTTCTCTCTTTTATGCTTTTGTTCTTTTTATGAAATTTAGTCTATAGAAATTAAATGCTGAATATATAGAAACCCCTATTTCTTTATTTTTAAAAGAATTTCTAGCCTGATTTGAAACATTAATGGATTTTTTCTAGTTTGCTCTTTAAATGTTTGTAAATTCTTTTTGCATGGTATATGGATTTGGTGGTTTGTATATATCAAGCTTTCCTTTCCTGATCCAACTGAGAGAGAGATTATTACCTTAACCTTTTGTTTGATTGAACAACACAGACAATGTTCCTTATGCCTTTAGTACTTTGAAGTCTGTGCGATCCACAGATTGGCAGGCGTGTGTACAACTGAAAATTTTATAGTTTGTTTCAGGGATTCAGACGATCTTAATGAAGGAATACCAATATATGATATCAGTGTGGACCTTCAGTTTGGAACAAAACAGTTTTAATATACAGCCATGAAACCCTCACACGTTGTAGTATATCACCTCTCTCTATCTTCTGAGCCACAAAAGCTTTTGTTATACAACTTGTTTTTCTTTACTTAATATCTTCCCTTCTTTCTTTTGTGGACCTTAAGGAGACAAACAACTTTGGATTTGCTTCCTTCAATTTAAGGTAGAACAAGGAAAACCTTTTTGTATCTTAATTAATTTCGAGAAAGATTTCTAAGCAAATACATTTCTTACTCTACCCTCTTCCATGACTGATGAAAGCAAGTAATTAATTGATTGCTTTTGGAAAAGCCTTTTTCAAAAATAAATCTTTGAGAAGCCAGAATCTAAATTTTAAGCACCAGAGAAGTTAAGGCTTTATTTATGTTAATTATTAGTTTCAAAGATATATATCACCTATATAACTTGTAAAACATTATAAACACACTTTCCTTTTGATTTTTTTTTTTTTCTCATGGATCAAGTATATTCTGGTACTATGATATAGCATTAAGTCGTAATACTCCCAAAGTTTGTCGGATTTACTGGGATTAGATGTATATAACTTTTGGCTGTTTCGGTTTTGTTGGTTCCTACTGATTCAATGAATGACTAAATTGTTGTAGATGCATATGTGGGGGCATGGATCACAATATAGGAAAGGCCCTGAATCTCTAAGGGGAACTCAACCAACAGGTATGCTAAGACTTCCTTGCTATTGTTGTGCACCAGGGTGCAGGAACAACATTGATCATCCAAGAGCGAAGCCGCTTAAAGATTTTAGAACCCTGCAAACACATTACAAGAGGAAGCATGGTATTAAGCCTTTCATGTGCAGAAAATGTGGAAAGGCATTTGCTGTGAGGGGAGATTGGAGGACTCATGAGAAGAATTGTGGAAAACTCTGGTATTGCATTTGTGGGTCTGATTTCAAGCACAAGAGATCTCTTAAAGACCATATAAAGGCTTTTGGAAATGGCCATGCAGCTTATGGGATTGATGGTTTTGAAGAAGAAGATGAACCGGCATCTGAAGTAGAACAAGATAATGAGTCCACGCAGTGAAATGGATATATCAACTGAGTATTATATATATTAGTTTACGATCTTCTGTTGGGATTGATATTCCCAGGCTTTCCAAGTAAGAAAACATAGGCATCAATTTAATTGCTTGGAGAGTTAACTTTTTTCTTCTGGTATCTTTTTTGAATTCTGGCCTATCTAAGAATTGTAGGATACTCATTAAACACATCCATGTTAGGCTAAGTTCATGTAAATTCCTTTTCTTTCTAATTAAGTTCTTTATTTTCTCCGTGAACTGATGAGTGCTTACTTTGCTGAACCAGTTGGTGATCATGATCAGTACAGAAATCGGGAACTTCAACATGTATGCAAATAATTTAATTAATATTCGACAAGAAAACCTAAATTATTAATTAGATTTTTCTTTCTTCAGTTCTTGTATTTAGAACTATTGAAATTACGAATATTGAAGGAAGTAGAAACAAAAGAGGCGCAGAAGGAATATTTGTTAGAGTGAATTTATTATTGTTCCTTCTCAACACAATAATAAGAGTGGCTGAAAAAATGGAGAGCTAGCACAGAAGGTTTTTTGGAATAAAATCAATCACAAACTCTTCTTGACTGTTTAGGGAAATGATACATGCATGGATAATATATTGTATATGTATAATTGAGGGGTTTTTGGTTAGCCTTTCAGCTTTAATAATTCATTTCTTTTGAGATCCTCATGTGAGTCTTCACCAATCCTCATATGGGTAGTGAGGATGAATATAAAGCAATCTACTCACTGGATAACAAGACAGGTGAGAGTATATTTTGTTCCAAATGTAGTTGAGGGAGGCTTTTCATCCTGCAGATACATCAGCTTTTTATGATGCCGCTTTTGCTTTGGTTAGTGGAGAGATAGATGTGTTTGTTGATGGATGGAACATATACCATTTAAGATTCACTATTACTTGGAAAATTCAAAGCAAATGATTAGCTTTAAGAGAGAGAGAAAATATTATAATACCGAAGATTGAAAAGAGGACCTGCAAGAGCAATTAAAAGAGTTGAAGGATTGGAACAGAAATTAAATTAATGATCTCAATCTCATCTCATTTGCAGGATTAGAGAGTTATAGAGAGAGAGTTATAGAGAGAGAGAGAGAGAGAGAGAGAGAGAGAGAGAGGATGAGCATGGGCAAAGGACAGGCTAAAAACTACAACAGTGTGGAGCCCAAGTTGTGCTGGTTGGACAAAAATACAACATATACTGATGCCTCCTACAGTGGATACACACCTCTTCTGCTAGATGAACTGTAGACTGACGNGAAAGCAAGTAATTAATTGATTGCTTTTGGAAAAGCCTTTTTCAAAAATAAATCTTTGAGAAGCCAGAATCTAAATTTTAAGCACCAGAGAAGTTAAGGCTTTATTTATGTTAATTATTAGTTTCAAAGATATATATCACCTATATAACTTGTAAAACATTATAAACACACTTTCCTTTTGATTTTTTTTTTTTCCTCATGGATCAAGTATATTCTGGTACTATGATATAGCATTAAGTTGTAATACTCCCAAAGTTTGTCGGATTTACTGGGATTAGATGTATATAACTTTTGGCTGTTTCGGTTTTGTTGGTTCCTACTGATTCAATGAATGACTAAATTGTTGTAGATGCATATGTGGGGGCATGGATCACAATATAGGAAAGGCCCTGAATCTCTAAGGGGAACTCAACCAACAGGTATGCTAAGACTTCCTTGCTATTGTTGTGCACCAGGGTGCAGGAACAACATTGATCATCCAAGAGCGAAGCCGCTTAAAGATTTTAGAACCCTGCAAACACATTACAAGAGGAAGCATGGTATTAAGCCTTTCATGTGCAGAAAATGTGGAAAGGCATTTGCTGTGAGGGGAGATTGGAGGACTCATGAGAAGAATTGTGGAAAACTCTGGTATTGCATTTGTGGGTCTGATTTCAAGCACAAGAGATCTCTTAAAGACCATATAAAGGCTTTTGGAAATGGCCATGCAGCTTATGGGATTGATGGTTTTGAAGAAGAAGATGAACCGGCATCTGAAGTAGAACAAGATAATGAGTCCACGCAGTGAAATGGATATATCAACTGAGTATTATATATATTAGTTTACGATCTTCTGTTGGGATTGATATTCCCAGGCTTTCCAAGTAAGAAAACATAGGCATCAATTTAATTGCTTGGAGAGTTAACTTTTTTCTTCTGGTATCTTTTTTGAATTCTGGCCTATCTAAGAATTGTAGGATACTCATTAAACACATCCATGTTAGGCTAAGTTCATGTAAATTCCTTTTCTTTCTAATTAAGTTCTTTATTTTCTCCGTGAACTGATGAGTGCTTACTTTGCTGAACCAGTTGGTGATCATGATCAGTACAGAAATCGGGAACTTCAACATGTATGCAAATAATTTAATTAATATTCGACAAGAAAACCTAAATTATTAATTAGATTTTTCTTTCTTCAGTTCTTGTATTTAGAACTATTGAAATTACGAATATTGAAGGAAGTAGAAACAAAAGAGGCGCAGAAGGAATATTTGTTAGAGTGAATTTATTATTGTTCCTTCTCAACACAATAATAAGAGTGGCTGAAAAAATGGAGAGCTAGCACAGAAGGTTTTTTGGAATAAAATCAATCACAAACTCTTCTTGACTGTTTAGGGAAATGATACATGCATGGATAATATATTGTATATGTATAATTGAGGGGTTTTTGGTTAGCCTTTCAGCTTTAATAATTCATTTCTTTTGAGATCCTCATGTGAGTCTTCACCAATCCTCATATGGGTAGTGAGGATGAATATAAAGCAATCTACTCACTGGATAACAAGACAGGTGAGAGTATATTTTGTTCCAAATGTAGTTGAGGGAGGCTTTTCATCCTGCAGATACATCAGCTTTTTATGATGCCGCTTTTGCTTTGGTTAGTGGAGAGATAGATGTGTTTGTTGATGGATGGAACATATACCATTTAAGATTCACTATTACTTGGAAAATTCAAAGCAAATGATTAGCTTTAAGAGAGAGAGAAAATATTATAATACCGAAGATTGAAAAGAGGACCTGCAAGAGCAATTAAAAGAGTTGAAGGATTGGAACAGAAATTAAATTAATGATCTCAATCTCATCTCATTTGCAGGATTAGAGAGTTATAGAGAGAGAGTTATAGAGAGAGAGAGAGAGAGAGAGAGAGAGAGAGGATGAGCATGGGCAAAGGACAGGCTAAAAACTACAACAGTGTGGAGCCCAAGTTGTGCTGGTTGGACAAAAATACAACATATACTGATGCCTCCTACAGTGGATACACACCTCTTCTGCTAGATGAACTGTAGACTGAAGGGACACTTCATTGAGTCTTTTGACGACCTCTCTCTGTCATACACACAAGACCTTTGAAATTTAGCCTGCAATTGCAGTTCGACAGTGAAGATATATGTGTGCAACAGTGCAAGTGTTAAACATTAATGACAATGGGGAATACTAAGAGAAAAGGCAGACAAATTCTGTGAATTTTCCTTCTTTCTTTCTCTTGAGTCGCTTGTCTTGACAACTATTATATATCTCGAGTATATAATTAACCCATCGGACCATTCACAAAGTTAACTGGGTACTGTCAGTTGATAGCATGTGGGGTTACTAATTTCTTTCTATACTGTTCTGCAATACAATCCAGATCAACCAGCAGTAACAACTAAGAAATCAGAACTGCAGTATTTATTAACAATCAATATCTTACTCCTTTGTTAGGGAGAGAGATCAACCCTACCAGAACTCACCCTTTGGGGCCACTCTTCTCTCCATTAAACAAAAATACTTCTTTCTCTACAAAGAATAAAGATACAATCAATCTCCCTTTTGCTCTTTGGTTGTTTTATAGCATGGACACTTTCTTCAAATACAATATATATAAATTTTGATACATTAGGGTATAATAAATTAGCGCAATTATAATTTGTACGTTGGAGGTCATGCATGTAGAACTCAATGAAACTCTGAATCTAATTAACCTGCAACGTCTTGGCATTTGAGCTGAATTGAAGAGATTAATTATTAAAAATTGAAATATAAGGAGAGACACACATGCAGCTTAACAGATCATTATTCTTTTCCTGTCTAACAGTTGAAAACAGACCTTCCCCGTTTAAAATCCCAAGACCCTTTACTTTTTTTATTTTTTTCTTTTATCATGATCAAGATTATTATTTAAACTAATTGATATTCTATATATAATTTCATTATACTTTTTTCCATGATCTTGTCAAGGAGACCAAGCATCCTACATTAGTATGCAGTTTTATATTTCCCTTGTATTCATATTCCAACACAGAGGGGACAGCTTTGTCTCCCTTCGCTCGAATCTCTAACTTAATTTAGTTAATGTTTTTTATTTATGATTTTTTTTTTTTTTCTAGCTTTCAATTTCTCCCCTCAAGATCGAGTAATTTCAACGCAGTTATATGAAAACAAATTTCATGTAGCATAGCATTGAATCATTGATGTGTTTGTAATATTGTGCCTACAAATTAAAGCTTCAACAATCTTTTACTATGGCGAGTGTGCCTACAAATGATAAATTCTGTGATAATAATTATAAGAAAGGACAAAATCATGAACTCGTATGTATATATCACAGAATTTTTTTCACTTTTCTGCAATGAAAAATAAGGGAGAATGGAAATATATACAAAATCAAAGTAGTACTTGACAATAAAAACTGAGCCATATATCAAAGATCACAGATTCACAGTGGCATATTAAAAGGTGATGCATGTCATGATATAAAGCTACTCTAGGGCAGCCAAGTTAATGAATTACACTTTGATTTTCAGTGAAATGATGACTATGGCCTCCCTCACGTATACCCACAAAAAAATAATATAAGGATCACCTATAACTATAAAAACGCCAATTTCTGTTAACTTTGATCCTCAAAGTATAAGAGACAACTTTGTTTGAGAGGTCCCAATGAACAAAAGGAAAAGTAGAGAAAGGTAAAAATAATCTTGACCCATAATTACGTACCTTTGAAAAGAAATATCATGTACATATATTATTATTATGATATATATATAAACAAGAGAAAACAAAAATTCTTCTTTTGGACTATAATTAGAGAGATCTCTTTTTCCCATGGTTATTATCAGTGTCAATATGCTTTCTTTCATCCAGTATTTTTCTTCTGCTAAAGTTACCTTGCTTTAATTTGGTGCATGGAGATTCTCCAAGTTGTGGCAATGGGGTATCTAAATTTGTATTGAGAATAATATTATACCAAAACTTCAAAGAGAAGAAATAGAGAACATATGTAACACATACACAACCTTGAGGTTGAAGAAGGAAGAGAGAGAGATATAAAGAGAGGGCATATCTAGGCTTTTCTCTCTGCTCTAAGTCAGGAAAAAAGTTGTTATTGACGTTCATGCCAATCAAATCAAATAGGCATAATCTAATTTTAATTTATTTTTATTTTTATTTTAAAGGAACCATTTGACAATCATGTCTACCAGTTGCAAAGAGAAGATCCTATATATATATATATAATTAGAGTTGAACAACTAAAGCAAAAGATCGTAAACCCATATACAAGAACACTCATTAGAAGTAAACCCATATACAAGAACACTCATTAGAAGTAAACCCACACGGGAAAACCCTCGAAAAGCAGTTCAGAGGATTATGGAGATTCGATCCTTTCCTTTGCAATTTCAACTTGGTAACAGAATAACAAGATCAATTAATAGCTAAACCTATATAGCTATCCACTTTATGTTTATTTAGTATCATTTTAAAAATATCCCGATAGCCCACAGTTTTTTCTGTCCCGTAAAGCATGGGGTTTTGATTTAATAATGTGATTTTAACTTTATAAAGAATAAAAGCTAACATATGGATGGTATATTACATAAGCTTCCACTAACGCCATTTCCACTTTCTCAATTTTAGGATATCGATTTGATTTCTTCGATGCACAGTCACAGTGTGTCAATTCTATAGTATATTTTTCCATGAAAGATTATGAAGTGATAGTACTATACATTTGATGAAGACTTGACTCTTTATTTCTATCATTATTTGACTTCAAAAAATAAAGCAAATTGAACTGCTTTAAAAAAACTACTTTTTTCTGGAAAACGTTTCCATTATACGATTGCTATGCATGATTTATTATAATGCTTTTACATGTTATGATCTTAAAAAATGTGGAGGTATCAATAAAATATCATAACTAGAAATAATTATTAAGGGTAAAGTTAATTTTTTTTTTAAATTTATTATGAGAGAGGCGTAGCTATAGAGCTCCAAATCAATTTAACTTTTGTTCAAAATCTCTGATGGGAAATATTGACCAAGTAATCACATGGCTTGGATCGATTCTATTGGTATGAATTGTCACCATTAGATTACGGATTGTAGGACCCATTCAAGATTGATTTATTGAAGTATATAAATCTTTTTTAAAAAAAAAAAAAAATTAATGAAAAAAAATTAAATAAAACAGAAGAGCTTTTTCTTTCTTTCAAAAAGAGCACTTTCACCTGCTTCCCAGAAGGATCCTATCCTTGGAACTAATACGTATGCAAAAAGTAGAAAAGGAAAGGTGAACAAGAAATTAAAGTCCTATTTTTTTTCTTTTTTGCATTTATCATTTAACTTTCTCATCGATTAATTATAATTAAATTAGCAAAAAAGGAAAAGGAAATAGATATACGTGGAACTCTTATAACCCGGAAAAGGGAGAAAAACAATCTTTTGTAGAATATTTTATTTTGTATAACTTGAATTTTAAAATAGCAATAATCATTAAATTTACTTCTACTGTGATTAAATGTCAAAAAGAAGAAAAGAACTTTCTTTTATTTACTTAATAATAGAAATTGCAAATGATTACAAATTAATTAATTTCCATTGTTTAAGAGAAAGATTCAGTATTCTATATCCATATAATATAAGGACCTAAATACATATTAATGTGGAGGAAGAACCGAGAGAAGAAAATATAAGCAAAATTGTAGCTAGAAAGCAATTTTTTTTTTTTATCTTATATCATTGTACATTCTGTTTTCTACACAAACATAAAGCCTTAAATAAATAAATAACAATCTAAATAGAACAAGACAAATTTATCAAACATAGATTAACAACCTAACCGTGATAGGAAATTTAATTACATATAAAATAAAGAATAATACTACACATACATTATTTTCATACAACATTTCACAATAACATTATGTGGCAAAATATGATGGTGGTAAGTTAATTTTAACTTTAAATTAGCCAATCATATCTTGTCTTATAATGTTGTATGAGAAATGATATATGTGTAGTATTACTCTGAAATAAAATCTGGAAAAAAAAAAAAAAAAAACTTAGAAATCTACTTCCTAATACTGGGATAAATAATAATAATATTAATAAGTAGAAAATCCTTAATACAAACTAATCATGCAAATAAATATACTGTAATAGGATTGGGTAACAAAATATTAAAAATAATTGAAACAAATTAAATGGATGATGACTAAGCATAAAAGGTTTCTATTTCAGCATGTGGGAATTAG